CCAGGTGAAGACCTATAGGCCATTAGTGACTGTTGAGAGGGAGGACCAGTGTGCTCCCAGGAGGAGTTTACGATAGATAGGTTGGTTATCGTCGTAGATGATCAGCCCTAAACACACATGCACGGAAGTGCCACTGACTGTACTCAGCCGATCATGTGTGTTCACATATATGTACATATGCAGTATTAAAGAAGAGGTCATGAATGCTAGAGGAAGTGAACAGGATCCAGGAGAAGCTGGCAGGGGGAGGGCATAGAAATGATGGCAATACAGCACTTTTGTATGAAACTCTTTATCAAGTTAAAAAGAAACTATAGAAAACAATTGGAGACGTGAAGAGCAGCAAGCGTGTGCTGAGTCAATGTTACTCAAAGGCGCTGAGTAACGGTTCCAGGACTCCTCGGGAACTGGGCCACTGAATGCAGGCTGGAGAAAATCAAGAGGTTGGGGCCAGAGGGAAGAGATCAAGGGAGGAAGGCAGCCCAGTGGGCGGGGAGAAGTGAGGCCAATGATGACTTGAAGCAGGACTGTAGTTCCCTGTGGCTGTGGAGTGAAGGTCAGTGGGGAAGGGGAAAACAATGACTTCGCTCTCAGAATTCAGATTCAGTGTGATTATTTCAGTAAGTCGGTAGTTTCAACCTTATTAGGATATTTGAAAAGAAAAACTAGCACAGTATTTTACAGATATCCTGTGTCTGCAGACAAACACAGATCTAATTTATCTTTATGTTTCTATTAAACAATACATTTTTACTTGTGGAATTGAAATGAAAACAATTACATTTTTAAGAGAAAATCGCTAGAGATGTCTTTAGATTTATAGATATTAGCCATCAAATCAGAGCAAGGATTGGCAAATGGTCTTTGGTTTGAGACAAGGACTCACTGTATAGCTAGGGAGGTTGGCCTTGAACTCCTGGTGCTTTTACCTTGCTTTCCTGAGTGCTGGGATTACAGGGGTGAGTGACTATCTGGGTTGGCCAATTATTTATATGAAGATCAGGTTTTTGCTTTCATGAACCAATTAGTCACACGTGTGACTCTCCCCCTAGCATGGGTGGTGTATAAAGGAGCAAGCCTGGGTTCCAGCGTGGCTTCATTTATATTTACATCCAGGTTTCCCGTGCTTTTCATTGGTAGGGAGACTTTAGATTTGTAAGCAACAGGGGGAAAAAAAAGCTTAAATCACCGTTAGAACCCCAAACTGGTAGGAAGACAGACAAGATAGATTTACTTAGTCCCCAAGGCTGTTTGCTGGATTTCAGAATCATAACAGGCATGCTGGATTTCAGAATCATAACAGGCAGATTGCACAAACCTCCTTTATCCCATACTTGGGAGGTGAAGGTTGGAAGTTGGAAGAGCGCGTTGTGTTTGAGGTTCGTCTGTTTTACATAAGAAATCCCTGGCTGGCCAAGCTGCCCAGTGAGACCCTGCATCTGCAGACGACAGAGCCACGAATGGCCCGTGGTGTGGGGTTCTCAGCTGTCAGGAATTTGGAGGTGGTCACAGTGGTTTACTTTGTTGTAGCAAAGGGCATGTCCTGCCCTTTGAAAACCTTTTAGCATCAACTTAAACCAACACGCCTTCAGAGTCCCCCGAAGGACACTGACCTTGCTGGTTGCTCTGACTCATCCACCGTACCTTCCTGCCGGATTCTGTTTCCAGTCGCTGAGGTTTTTATTTGACTTAGTGAATTTTGTATTTCCAGCATTAAATCAGTTGGGCTTTCTTCAGCGATTCTCTTCATGTCTCCTATTTTCACATCTCAGATTGATGAGCTCATTTCTCTCTCTCTTTTTCCCTCTTTCTTTTTCCTCTCTTGTATATTTATGTCTTGAGTAACTGAGTATCGCTAGAGTCATTCTTCTCAATTCTTCGTGTGGCGGTTCTTCCGGGTCACTCTTGCTAGGTGTCATTATGCTGGGATTAGGGACTTACGGGGAGGCAGGCTGTCTCGCATGTCCATATTTGCTCCCGTTCTACACATCTGGAGTAGTCTCTTGGCTCTTTTCCCTTCTGCTTCTTTCAGGGGAGGTGGTTTGCAAGGCCCAGGAGAGGAATAAGACACAGTAGGGTTGAAAGGCCCAGCCCTGCCCTTGGGACTGGTGTGGGAAGTCCTGGAGTGGCTTAGGCAGCCTGTGAGGAGGGGAAGTAAGGTCCCTTACTTGCTCAGTGCACGCTAGGCTTCAGGGGCAAACTTCCTGGGTGCTGTAGGTGGGCTTGGTCGAGGAGGCCATGACTGGCACTGGTGGACGAGCCTGTGCAGAGGGTAGCAGGCCCTGTCCTTGCTGTGGGAGACTGTGTGGTCTGGGCTCCTCATGCAGGAAGGCTCCTCATGCTCTCCCTGCTGGTTGCCATTGCTGCTCCTTTCCCATCTCGCTGTGTTGCTCCAGGAAGCACCATGTCTGTCTCTGGTCAGTACCAGCCTGTCTTAATTTAAGTCATTCCCGATGGAGGTTACTTCTGCAGTTTCTCTATCCTGATGAGGTGTTCCTATATTGGACCCCAATTTTTTGTATACATTTCAGAATTAGTTTAACTTTTATGATGAAAAAGTTTTCGATGGGAAATGTTTACATCTGTATGATATTAGAGCCTCCTGATAACGGTGACTTCATCTCAGTTTATTGGCATCTTCCATTATGTGTTTAGGTAAAGCTGTTTAAACTGTTACAACAAGATCATGTGTCCTTTGCTAGGTTTATTAATAGTCTTATCTCACAATCTCTTAAGGGTTATGACTGAAAATATCCAGGGCTAGGGTAGAGAAATGAAATTAGTTTTTCTCTGCTGGCCTTAAGAGCATCGCTGAATCCCTAGTGTTTTTTTTTTTTTTTTAATAATTTGCAGATTCTTAGGGACATTCTAGGTTTCCTGCAGTGTTGACAGCCCTGATCCTCCCAGCATTATAACTCTACTCTCCTGCTCATTGCAGCCCAGTGCAGAATGCTGGTGGCATCTCATTCCTCTCGGATCAATGTGTCTAATATGATACCATTCGGTGTCCTGGGTTTGGGGACATGACCTTTACCAGATTAATGGAAATTCCTTTGATAGGCTTGTTAATATTTTGCTAAGAGGTTTGTTTACAAAATACAAAAGAGGGTTTCAAACTTATTCCATGTAATTCGTTGTTTGTTGAGATAACTGTGCTCAAGAATTTTTGATTAATCTTCCAAACTAGATGAACAGATATTTATCGTTAAAGCAAATGTATGTGTTTAAAATAACTTGATATAACGTATGTCCTAGCTATAGCCGGTGCTCCACAAGTCCCGAGCCACCTGCACTGTGACTGTCCTGCCCATCTGGTCAGTATGTACCACCCTCTCCTCCCCTTCAGAGGACGCTTTCTTCAAAGTAGTGTAATCTCGTAGCGCCACCTGCTGGCAAGCTTGGGAATTTCTGCTCTCGCCCTGGGCTTCCTTTCTTGGCTCTTGTCTTCTCTTGCCTTTCTCTTCACTCCCATCTTCCTTTCTCTAAACCTTAACAGTTAACATACACATTGAGCCATTCTCCTTCCTTTGCTTTCCTTCCCTCTTGGCTTCACCAGTCTAAACCTCCTTCAACAGTGGTTAATGATATCAACCAAAGGGAACAACAGTACAAACAACCATACATTTGAAAGACTATTCAGAACCACGGGGTGCTAGCTCCGCTCAGCTACCCATTAACATCCTCCAGATACTTCAGTTCTCCTTAAAATGTCCTCAAGTTTCAATTTTTAATAACTTTTAGTTAATTCTGCCCAGTTTAACAAGCTCAAGAATCAATCAAAATTATTAAACTTTTAGTAACTCTCATTATTTCTATCATTTTATTAACAGATTTGACAAATTTATAGCTTCTGTATTTTACTATAAGGTTTTTTATTATGGGTTCAACGACCTGGCTGCAGAGCGACCATCCACTGCAGTTTATAGAGAGACAGCCCCCCACAGGTGCCTTTTGGTACTGCAGTTTATAGAGAGAAGCCCCCACAGGGGACTTTTGGTACTGTAGTTTACAGAGAGAAGCCCCCACAGGGGATTTTTGGTACTGTAGTTTATAGGAAGGTTGTACCCCCCCCCCCCCCCACACACACAGGGGACTTTTGGTGCTGCAGTTTATAGGGAGACAGCCCCCCCCCCCTTTTTAGTACATAGCTCACTTAGGAGACAGAGACTTCCGTATCTAATTGCTTAGCTTCCTAGTGCCGAAAATACCACGAGCTACTTTGGGGCTGATGAGTAGACACGGTGCAGTCGCGTCTTTTTGGGTTAAGCTTCACCTTGTTTTTGGTCTGTACCTGAGAGCGACAGTTGAGTGTAATATGGAAGACACCGTGTCCCAGACTGATCTCTAGCTAAGGAGAGGGCTGCTGTGGGGACAGAGCAGCGAGAATTCTCCATTTCAAAGCAGGCACCACAAAACCTAGGCCTGCTAGGCTGCTTGTTACCTAGGGACACAGCAGAGACTGCAAAATTATATAGAATATCCAGGCTGGGGCGTAACTCCGTTGTTACTGGCTTCCAGGAAGCCTGGGCTCCATCCCCAGCACCACATGAGACCAGGTGGTGGTGTGCATCTTCCCTAGAACTTAAGAGGCAGAGGCAGGAAGACTCAAGGTCCTCCTGAGTTACCCAGTAAGCCACGAATACCCACTGATGAAGTTCTGACATGTATGGCTGGAGAACCGTGGTTACTGTGAGGCTAATCAGTCTGTGGAGAGTTCCTCAGTTTTTAAGAGAACCGTCTGGCATCCGCCTCCAAGAGATCCCAAGGTATTCTTCTCTCCACGGTCAACTAGTAGAGTTTGAAAGGTAAACTTTAAGAATCGTTAAAAAGGAGTTCAGGCTAACAGTTGAGCGCCCCGGTCGGCCCTTGGAGAGCGCAGGCTAAGAGAGATTTTCCTGGCTTCTAAACTGCTGAGCATGCTGTCTGAGCCCCCTCCCCCTGCCACCTCCTGCATTTCTCCACATTCGTGGTTTCTAACCTCTTGATGTCTCTTCCAAAAGGTGGGGACCCAAACTGTATGCCCTGTTCCAGATGCGCTCGTGCCAAAGCAGCATAAAGCATATGTAACAGGACGAAGGCCTTCCTGCTCATGAGGTAAGCACAGCTGGCAGCAGCTGCTGGGGTGAGCCTATACTCCCGGAGGCCCTGCTCAGATCCTGGGGGACCCTCCTATGCCTGCTCACCTGCTGGCCAGGGCCTTCTCCAGTTCAGGTGAAGGTGCTGAGCCAGGGTGCACTGCCGTACCCCGTCCTGCCCACGTCTTCTAGGCTCTTCCCCAGTCAAGGACACTGCCCTCCACTGTAATCGCTTTGCTCAAGTTTATGAAAATGCATTTTTTTTTATCGGTGACCGTGGTCAACTGACCATATTGTAAGTGCTGCTTTAGGTAGGACATTCTCTTGCATTTGTGGAGACTCCCTTGGTGAGGGAGAGAGGACTGTTGGAGTCTACTGCCACTTGGATGTACCTGGGGTATCAAAGGTCTCAACTGGAAGTAACAGTGAAGTGTTGTGCACACATGTTGAGTCAGAAGATCAAGGATCTGGTTCCTCAGCCTTATTAATAAAGCATTGTGCACCTCCCTCGGTCTGGCTATATTTAAAGATTATTTTATCACGATGACAGATTGTTAGAAAATTAATGTGTTTGGCCAAGACTAGATGAAACCATAGCACTGCGGTTCATCTTAGAGACTGTAACGGATCCAGGGTGAGGTCCCCCAAACCTGGGAGAGTTTCCCAAGCTTTTGGCTGTTTAGTGGCAGTGGTGCCGTGAGGCTTGAGAAGTGACACAGGCTGCGTCCCAGCGACCTGCCATTTAGACGTCTTTCCATGGAAGGGAGCAGATGCGTGTGCTCACACAAGGTGAGGCAGTTTAAAAACGCCTGTAGCCTTGGATGTGAGGTGGAGGTCACGCCAGACTGTCTTGACGCCACTGAAACTCTCACAGTTAGAAAGTGAATTTGAAGGCTGCCGTGTGCCCATCTGTGTCTGCTTACACTCATTTTGAAAGGGATATGGCCAACTATAATTCCATAGAATTCGACGAGCCAGGCGATGGTGGTGCAACGCCTTTAATCCCAGCACTTGGGAGGCAGAGGCAGGCGGATCTCTGTGAGTTCGAGACCAGCCTGGTCTACAGAGCTAGTTCCAGGACAGACTCCAAAGCCACAGAGAAACCTTGTCCCAAAAAAACCCAAACAAACAAAAAAAAACCAAACAAACATAGAATTTGACGATTCCTATTCCTGGTATTTAAACAAAATTCTCTGCTGGAAACACATCCTAAACATTCACAGATTGCTGCAAACAATATTCTCCATGGCTTTTCATCTGAAAACCCGGTCTTCCAGAACACAAATTCATTTATCTTGTTTTGTTTGATTAGCAGAAAGCCCAGATTGAAGTAGGCTGCCTGTTCTCCCCGCTTCTCAGTGATTTCACCTGCTAATACCCGTGCTCTTCAGAGTGACTCCTTTGACAGAGGCTGACTGTCTTATTGTTGGCAGAAGCAGAAAAAGAGAGTGTCTGTGTGACTCACCAGCGCAGCCACGCTCAAATGACAGATTTCAAATTATCCAGAGACGAATTTCTGAAGGGAACAGGGGGCTGGCAGGCTCGGCATCCTTCAGCCTGGAATGTCACATAGCTGTCAGCCTTGGAAGGCCCGCGGCTTCCACAGCCAATTGTCACTGGAAAAGGACTCAGCTGTCCTTTAGGCCTTAGTTCTTCCGTGTCTGGGGCTTCTTCCCAGAACTGTCATCCTGCCTACCTGTGGGATTCTGTAGGCCCGAAATTAGAGGTGACGTCCAAAGCCACAGACAGGAACTGGGTGGCTGGTTTGGTGAGTGGTGGCGCCCCCTACAGTCTCGGACCAGAATACAGCCAGATGTCTAATGAACTGGCACACTATGGATGGCGGGCTTCCTGGTTTCAAAATTCAGGCCTTGGGTTCTCTTCAAGGCTCTGGGCTAATTTTTGCTTAAAAGGCCGGGTCAGATCTGACCTCAAGCTTCTCTGTGTGGGACCCCTGAAATATGAAGTGGCCTGAGGCGTGTGCCACATGGAGCTAGTGTCAGTGAGGTGAGCTCACTCCCCACCCTCTCCACACCAGAAACATCTGTGACTGACATGATGGGCAATGTTTAGACCAACTCTACATTCATAACATGACTCGGGGGGTCAGAATGTTCCCAAACCTGCCGTTCTGATTTCTTTTGAGGCCCCAGACAATTCCGGCTACTCTGAGGTCAGAGGGCAGCCTGCGCCTCCTGCCATTTCCTCCATGGTGTTCTATCTCCTGCACAGCCTCGGAACATTCCCAGAGTGCTCAGCATGAGTTTTCAGGGCCAGGCCCTTTGCAACCCATGCTGGTGATGTTTATTTCTTCCGTCTCCTGACTTTCCCATCATCTGTCTGTACAGGTCCCTGGCGGCTGACCCACGATGAGCTATGACAGCCCTGTGTCTTGAACGCATACACCCCAAACTCTGGTATCTCCAGGACAACTGGATGGACTAGTCCCCATCAACCAGAGCGCTTGCTCGTGTTCTCTCCAACCCCCAGTCTTGTTTGCTCTCGGTTGTCGTCTTGCTGTTTTTCTCTTTCCTGCACCTTTTCACTGTCTTCCTAGGAGCAGACTTCAGGAGATGGACCAGGACTTGGGATGTCTGCAGACCCTGCGGTCCTCAGCCAGCCAGCACCTGCTGAGCCTGGCTTTAAGATACCATTTTCTCAGACAGATGCTGGAAGGCACCAGCTTCTGGAAATCCCCCAGCACACCCCACCCCCGCGCTGTGTTTTTTCTCTGCATGACTAGCTGCTCATAAGATGGAATCTAAGGGGACAATTATCAGGACTTTTTCACCTTTTAAAAATGGATGTGACTTATCTTCGGCTTTTATCTGAGTGCAAATTTGGTGATGTACCTCTCCTGTGTGTACTCCTGTCGAATCTGCAGAAATCGATGTGACATACCCCCTCCTGTCTGGGCTGTTTGTATAATTGTATATAAATGTAGCAATAAATATATTCTAACAACATCTGGAACCTGGGTCCCCACTTCATTTTGTACCTTGGTGGCAGGGAGTGGCAGTCACACTTTCACTGACAGGCCCTGCTGACCACTGGTGACCTGCTGACCACCTGATCCATCTGAGCTTCTCAGCTCCAGTTTCAGCAAGGGAGTGTTACTAAGAAGCAAGCCAGCGTTCGGAGAAAGGATGAGGGGGTTCAGTGGCAGAGCTGGGACGTGGTGCAGCATTAGTAATTCATGCAGTGGCGCTGGTCCTGGCTGAGGGAGGTTTGAACGTGCAGGGACTGAAGCATTGGGCGACAGTTTGCAGTGTGACTCAGTCATCTGACATTAAGGCGACTGTTCAGACACTGAGTCACACTGCAAACTGTCGCCTTAACAATATATTGTGCTGCAGCGATGTGGTGAACGTGGCAGGTACTTGCCAGGCACAAAGGGAGACTTTAAGGGTTTTCATAAAAACCACACAAAATATGCCACAATAGAATTTTTTTCATTGGTTAGTGGGTTTGCAGAGGTTCCAGGGCAATACAGAGAGCACATAAACAGACAGTCCTTTATCTATTAAACACAACGCTGTTTATCTGCTCCCAAGGAATGTTTATTAATACTGTCCTCTCATGTACTTAAGGTCTTTTGTTAGCAGCATTTTTTAATAATTTAAAAGATAATCATGTGCTTTGCTGTGGTATCTTTTCAAATTGCTTTGCTGATGTTTCTCAGTGGGCCTCTCCTCAGTCATAAATAGAACTTGACATACAACCATCCAGTCAGAAGACACAGATATGATGGAGCCCCAGACTGGAACATACTGGGGCCAGGGAGGGTTGGAGCACCTGAAAGGCTACTACTTTTTGTGTATTAAAAGGGGGGAGAGGAGACTGGAAGCATCTGGGAATCATCAGGCTGTGATGCTCTCCCCTGCCAATGCCGCTTTTCTGAACAGATCCCTTGGGGCTGGGACTAGTGACTTGCACAGGCAGAAGCCGTTAGAAAAGAGATGGCTGTGGTGGGATGAGGATAGTCTTATCGAGAGACTGCCTGGAAGCAGAGACTGAGCAGGCCTCAGGATTTCCTTGGGGTGGTAAGACTGGAGACTGCGGCATGTGCTCTGCTATATAAGTCAGTGGGAATTAGTGACTGACCTTGGACCAATTGCTCCATCCAGGGGCCTCTCACTCCTCTGCTGTAAAATGGGGTGACTGGAAGGAAGGAATGAGCCTTACACACCCTCGTTTCCACTTTTACTTTCTGTTTGTAATGTGTCTTGGAAAAGGGAAAGAAGTCACCTACTTTTAATACTAAACAGAAGGAGACTAGATGGCACAGATGGGCCACAGAGACAGGAGGATTTAGAGTGTTTATATCCAAATGCTAAAACAAGCTGGGGCTTATCAAGTACAGCCCCTGGGCGGAGACAGGACACATCAGGCGCCCACTGTCCATCCAGCCCCCTGTGCAAAGCCAGGAAGCACCAGGCGCCCACTGTCCATGCTCTAGTGACCATTTTTCTGACTTTTCTACACATCAGTGGACAAATGGGCTGGAAATTGATGGCTCAGAACCCCAAAGCCTATAGTGTAACCCGCAGAGTGGGAGAAGATGATAACTTTGAATCACACCAACCCCACATGCACCCGAGGGAGCTCATGGGAAGGGAGGCTTCCCTTCTCCCGGGAGAACCCACATAGGATGAGCACTCAACCCCTGGCCTAGAATGTATTCTGCATTACTTTCCAGGAAGATGGAGGCTTTGACTGGAGTTTGCGGAGGATCCTGTTTCTCAAGTTTTTTTTGGGGGGGGGCGGGGGCGTGCTGTCTGTCTGCAGAGAGTCCACAGTTACCCCCGTCTCGGCCTTACAGAGGTGATCACAGGGAGGTGGGCCCTCTTGGGATTCAGTGGTAGGCAGGAAGTCTGGTTGCCCTGACTAGGTCTGCACACTCCAGCAAGGAGCTTCGGTCGGGCTCATGGTGATCCTCCAGCCGCCACCGACTTGATCTTTGGCTTTGTCGCTCAGCCCTGTGTTCCTCATTTCATGTACATCAGACTCACAGGAAGCATGGCTAAAAACCGTGCTAGGTCACTTTCTCAGACTTTGTGACAGTGCAGGCCACAGGCCTGGCTCCGGCATCTGCAGTTATAGCACATTCCTAGGGGAGACCAAGGCTCCTTCAGTAGGGACCACACTTTAGACCCAGAAGCACTTGTCTGAGAGAAGTTGTATTTATTGTTCTCCTCAGACACCACAAGAACCAAATGTTCTCAGGGCTGAGTCACCTGGGTGGCATTTGCTAAACAGGGGCCGGTGAACATTCCTTGGTCAGCATGAGTAAGTCACTCACAAATCAATAATCCTCCTCTAGCCATGGCCTCGGGGACAAACGAGGTTTGGATTACACTCAGTAGACCGGGTAGAACATCAGATAAATGGATGCCAGCTGGACATTGATCCTGAAATGGCAATTCAAGGACAGAATCCCATTTTCCCTCAATAAAACGGCAGGCATAGTCCTGTGTGCAGGTAAACAAACATGTAAGCAGGCCTTTAAGCAGGGCAGGGAGAAGTGGGTTGTAGGAGCTTTTCACTGGATTATAAGTGTCAACCGCTCAGACCAGGAGACAGCCTGAGAGGTCCTCACAATGGCGATGCATCTGAGGGACCCCTGACAGGTGCATGTCCCTGAAACGGGTGTCAGTGCCAACTGATTTCACCTACTTATAATCATGTAACTGGGGCTAATCTGCATGCAGTCTTCAGCGTCTGAGTTCACTCAACAACACACTCAATAATTCATTTAATGTCCTTTGACCCATTTGGCTTTAGTGACGACCATACCAAATGTTTCTCCAGCCTTTGCCATCAAATCAGTGAGGAATTCCAGAGTTACAGCCCAGCATGGCTTCTTAGTCAAGCCTCCGCAGGTATCCACACACCCAGACCCCCCCGAGTCTCAGTCCTCCTGCAATCTGGGGGACGTGTCTTCCTTGCCACCCACCCAAGTTGTGCGACTGCAAGACTCTGCAAGTTGCCTGTAGTACTCTACCCCCAGCCTCAGATGCCCTTCTTCCTGGGCACGTTTCCAGGGGGTTCACTCCTCACTAGTGTCCTTTCCTCTCTGCCTCGTGTAGTACTCAGAAGTAGCCACGGGGCCTCTTCTAGGCACACAGGGTAACAGTGAGCATGGGGACTGTCTGGTGAAGGTGTGCTGGCTACTTCTGTCAACCTGACACAAGCCAGTTATCTAAGAGGGAGGAGCCCCAATTGAGAAAACACCTCCATAAGATCAGGCTGTAGACTAGCCTATAGGATATTTTCTTAATTAGTGATTGATGGGGCAGGGCCCAGCCCATTAAGGGTGGTGCCACCCCTGGCCTGGTGGTTCTGGGTTCTATAAGAAAATAGGCTGAGCAAGGCAGGGGAAGCAAGCCAGTAAGCAGCACCCATCCATGGCCTCTGCATTAGCTCCTGCCTCCAGGTTCCTGCCCTGTTCATTGCTTCCTTCAGTGATAAACTATGATGTGGAAGTGGAAGTCAAATAAACCCTTTCATCCCCAGCTCGTTTTTGCTCACGGTGTTTCAGCGCAGCAATAGTAACCCTAGCTAAGACAGAGGATGTTAGCCTATCTCTCCTGCTGGACTACAGGTCATGGGTACTTGACAGAAGAAGTTTATTTGACTTATGAGACTGATCACCCAAACACCCTGGTTCTGTGGTCCTGGCGAGGCCAGGGGTGTCCATCGTACCACCAGTGAAAACAGAAAGGGACTTGACTGAGAAAGAGCTGAGGTAGGCTCACTTCATAAGTTTCCTGACATTCTTTCCAAGGATGGTACCCCGTGACTTAATCACTTTCCATGAAGTCCCACCTCTTAAAGGTCCCATTACCTTCATGTTGCCAAATTGGGAACTAAGGTTCCTTCACCAGAAACAAACCATAACCAAAGCATGGTATGAGCATCTCTGACTAGCCTGGTATCTACAGTCCTTCTCGAGTTCTCAAGGGCCAGGGGACAGCCTGACCTGCATTTCTGTGGGGGGGGGGGGGACACCTGTGTTCTCATGCCTCTAGTGTATTTTCTGTGCCCATGGAACTAGGGGACATGTCTGGAGACATCATTGATTGTTAGCATTCCCTGGACCTGACATTCAGGAGGAAAACCAGAAGTTCCACAAAGCATCCTCCAATGTGTAAGATCTACTCATCATGACTGTCAGGTCCCCCCCGTCCTTCCCCAGTTTGGCCTCTGTACATGGGTCAGTCATTACTTTGGAGAGCTTGAAATGGCAAGGAAAGTAGACAGGGTTGGGCTGAGGCCAGGCTGGACCATAGGCTGTGACCTACATCCCTGGCTTCTTCAATAGGCCAGTGACTAGCTGCACCAAAGTACAGAAGTCACCAGGTCGTAGAGAAGAAGGCATCTGTGTGATGATATGATTCATAAGTCTCCTATCTCCAAACTACAGAAGATAGCACATCACTGGGCTCTTCAACCCAGGAGCCCCCCTTCCCTCCACGGTATGCTCTCTGGGCCACGGGATGACACTGAGTGGACTCAGCAGTCCCCAAGCGGGTACACTCAGGCCTCTTACACCATGGGCCCCGCATATTGTCATCACTGAGTTTTCCTTCTTGGTGATGGGTCATCCAAGTCAGTGGGGCTGAGGCATTGCATTTCACTGTCATCACGGGGCCGGCTATGTCGTCCAGCATTGGTCTGAAATGAAGTGGATGCTTAACGCTCTCTGTTTTTCTGCTGTGTAACTTTGGGCGCCCCACTTAGATTCTCCAGATTTTAAAACATAAAAAACAAAATATATGGAGAAAGAATGAATTATAACATGCATATTGATTTTAAACTTTTTTCTCCCAATGATATCTGTAAATACTCAGTACTCATTTCCAGATCTTTCTGAGGACAGCAATGCTGATCGTGTGTCCTGTTTCCTTGGGACTCCTGCTCGCCCAGCCTTGAGGAATATCTGTGAGTGCTCAAGGCTTAGATGATGCTTGGTACATTCTGAAAAGTGGTTGTGTGCAGTCAGAAGGAACAGCATTCTTCAAAAACTATCACTGTTTCCCTTGTCCACTCAAAAACCTTTTACCCTGAGCTCCAGCTATGCAGGGTCAGTGGGACAAAGGGGGTCCTGAATTCCCCAGGGGCCTCTGTACCTCTTCTTGCTGTGTCCAGTGCTGGGGCAAGGACCTCAGTACTGGAGGCCACCCTAGACGAGGGCCAAGGAGGAGTGCAGAACTGAGAGTTGCAAGGTTCCCTCCCCCCCAACACCCCAAGAAATCAGCTAGAATAATCTAGCTGTCAGGAGTCGCCACCACTTCTCTCTCTGTCTCTGTCTCTGATGCTTGGTCCAATGTCCAGGAACAGAGGCCGGAGGCTGAGAGCAGACTGGACAGGCAGGAAGAGAACATGATGTGACATGCCTGTGAATGGAGACTTGCAGCAAATCACCAGGTGCTATTGACAATGCAGAGAGAATGTGGATCTAGACCTGGGGTGAATGACAGTATCTGTTGCTGGGGTTGTGAAGCTGGTTTATAAGTACCCTTGTAAGGCTCACCCCCAAGTACACTAAAGTAGCCTTGGGTACATCCCTTTCCTAGCTCTGTGGGAACTGTTAGATCTGTTTTGGACTACACCACCTGACCCTTTTATCTGTTGTCATCTTTGGGCTTATCCTTTAATTCACCATCATATAATCAGTACTCAGGATACGGCCCACTCCCAGAGGAGACCTGAGCTCCCACTACCCAAACTTTTCTCGGCTTTCTGCCTACCTGCCTATCTGGATCACAGGGCAGGGGTGGATCTAAGGAAAGGGCCAGCTGCAAGTAGCTCATGACTTGGGTAGGATCAAACCCTAAGCATTGAGTGCGGTTGTGCACACGCAGCAGCTCAGACATATTCCCAGCTGATGTCTGTGATGGGACAATCACAGAACTGTCTGGTCATGTAGCTCAAATAAACCAAGAAAGCTATAAAGCAGGTCCATGCCCTCGTGGTGCATGTATTCCTGGGCAGGGAGATGAACACCATACAAACTAAGTCTCAGTGGCAAATGCTGGGGAGGCAATGTAAAACGGGGCATATTGGAGAGGGGGTGTTGGGGGCGTTCAAAGGGCAGGAGGGCTTCACAGAAGTGATGTCAGAGCAGATACTATACTTGCCATGCTGGAAGACTGCATGTATGCTGAAGAAATCTCCAGAAGGCCCAGTATCTGCTTGTCGTGGCCCAAGTTCTTAGCATCTCTTTAACAAAAGAGGCTTGCATCCCAAAAGTCATGACAGCCTGTTTTATTTCCTTGAGATCATTCATACGGACAGGCTCCCATGTATCCTCCTTGATGACCCTAGGGTTTTTGGAACCAATCACCTTCTCTGTTGTTATTACTGGAAAGGCAGGTAGAGTTGTAGGTAGAGCTTTGTGGAAATTGTCCCGGAGAGATTTACCCACAGATGTAGTTAAAATTTGCCTTTCTACCCTTTGCTCTTCTTCATCAGAATTTAGAAATTCCTCAATCTTTTCAATTCTATTCACCATTGCCTTCTGCAATGTCTGAATCTCCTGTCCAGAATTATGTTCCAAAGCCTTCATTGAGGATTCTAAAGTATGAAGTTTGTCCATTAGAGATAACATCTCATCTTTGGACATAATTTTTATGGCATAAACCGTGCCTTCTTGTATTGACAATCTTTCCGTCAATCTGTCATAAGCTTTAGACAAAATCCGATTGTCACATTCAGCAGTTTTGATTCTCTCAGTTAATGTTTCATTTCCTACAGAAAGGGACTGAAGCTTATGATCCAAATCAGCTGTTCCCTCTTCCATAGTAATGAATTTCTCCTTAATATCAGCCACTAATGTTTCAGTTCCTACTGAAAGGGACTGAAGCTTACGATACAAATCAGCTGTTCCCTCTTCCATAGTAATGAATTTCTCCTTAACATCAGCCTGGAGAACTTCAAACTGATTCTTGAGAAGATTGTTGTCATTCTCAATTGTTTTTAAGCATTCAATCTCTGCCTTAAGAATCCTGGATTCGTCTCGTAAAGACTTTATCATATTTCTATTATCAAACCATTTAGTGCCAATGAAAACTACGAATCCCAGAAGGATCCATAGATGTGGGGTGATAGACACCTCTTGTAAAATCTCCCACATGGTACAATTTTAAAAAACTGTTAAATTCTTGAATACTAACGTGTTCAGACATTTTATTTATAAAAGAAAAATTTTTTACCTGCAATGATTGGTTCCTGCCAGTGGTGGTCTCTGTGTTTTTGGAGCCTGTCCTGGAACTAGCTCTTGTAGACCAGGCTGGCCTCGAACTCACAGAGATCCGCCTGTCTCTGCCTCCCAAGTGCTGGGATTGAAGGTGTGCGCCACCACCGCCTGGCCAAGTCACTTTGTATCAGACCAAATCTGCCGCTGTGGCGGTTTTTGTTGCAAAACCGCAGGTACTTGAGTTTCTGTTAATTCAGGCAGTGGGGTTCCACTCCAAACTTAGCCAAGGCAGGCAGGGAGGGGTTAATTGCTCTGGCGAGCAGGTGGGGCAGAATGGGCCTGTGTGGCTGAGTGTGTCTAGGACTCGGCATTGGGGCCCGAGTCACGAACTAAAAAACAGCACCCAGGAGGGTGCTGTGTTAGCTAGCGGGCTACCCGCTTGAGTCGGGGGGCAAAATAGCCCCACGTTGGGCGCCAAAATGTAACTGCATAAACGAATACAGATTGTATATATATATATATATATATATCTTTAATGTAGAAATAGACTTACAGAACCACCGTTCCCGCGGAGACCAGGAAAGCAGAAGCAGTGGCTGGGAGCCATGCTCGCCAAATTTATAGGCAAACATTAGCCCGAGGCGAAACGCCCCCTAAGGGGCGGGACTTATCCCTACACTGCTGCCCTCCAACTCGAACATTTTAGGAGCTTAGAGTAATCAAACAGTGGGTCTGGGACATGTACGGCCAGAGGCATCCAGCACAGAGCAGAGAGGCAAGTGGTGGTTAAGAGCAGTAGAGGGGCAGCTGGGGAGTGGGCTGTGTGCACCTTGTGAGGGTCAGGCAAGAAGGCCAGGTCAGGCCTTGGGCTACAAAGGAACTTTGCATTTCTAGCACCTCTAGCCTCCCAGTGCACTGCATCCCCGAACTGGAAAGAATTCCATCTGCGGTGATTCAAGTTCAAAGTCTTGTTCACACGGGGGGGGGGGGGGGGGGGGGTACTGCTCTGCTCATCCCACTGCGTCCTCGCTCCAGCCCTTTCCCAGGGGGTCTGTCACACTGTCCCAGCCTGCATGTTAAGTTCTCATGAGAGAGATGGAGAGTCTTTCAAAGCCAGTTGCTTCCTGTCATCCTACAGTTCCTGACAATTGGCCTATCCCAACATCCCTGACCACCTTGGCTGGACTCTCCCGGAGGCAGAGTTAAGGATGCTCCCCTTTGCAGCTGCCTCAGAACCGGGAGATGACAGGAGTGCGGTAAAGGCCCAGGTGCAGGTATTTTGTTTTGAATAAATTCACGATTACAGCTGCCTTTCCTGACACTCCCATCACTCACTGATGAGCACTTTAAGTCAGCAATGTGTGCTAACTTTCCTCTTCAGACAAGATCAGACCTGAGGAGAGAAAAGTACGAGAGCCCTCTCCTGTTCTGGGTTCAAGCGGTCCTGGGAAGGCTGGAAGCCTCTCCCACTAAATGCTGCTATTGATGCGTTGCTTTTGGATACATTAAACTGACAACCATGAGAGCATGGCCTCAATACTTCAATGTGCAAGACAGCTTGAGTCAAGACACGCAGTCTGAGTCTGCAAGCCCTCAGCTCAGACAACCAAGTGGGGATAGATAATGTTGGTCAATGCAAAGTACCAACTTTAGGAACAATGTCAAAGGGAAGCAAAGGTTTGCAAAGAGGCAGAGGAGGAAAATCCTGGTAGAATTTAATCAGTGTCATTAGAACATGTTGCTATAATGCTCACAGCAGAAGAGGAACACTCTTATTGACCAAAAATTATGTGAAAATTGGGTCAGGAGGCCGCAGCTCTAGAACGGCAGGGATCACGTGGAGTCGGTCTCAAGGCTCAGGAGCAGAGCCAGGCAGCAAATGCACTTACCTGTACCTGGCATGAGTTCTCCTTCGCACCGTGCACTGGACACAGGAATCTGTGAAACAGGGGCCAGTGCCATTTTTTTTTTTTTTTAACAAGGGAGTTTGGGAAAGACTCTGAGAGCTGATCTGCTGGATTCTGCAAACTGTGTGTGTGCTGTCTGTTACTGTATTAATATGTGCAACATGGGTTCAAGCACACAAGTATCACTTACTAACCTTTGCCTGCTGTGTCCCCCAACCTCTGGAAGAAATGAAACGTTTATCTATAGCGAGCTAGTGTTTTGAGCCCCAACTATCAAGTAAAAATTATCTATTATGTTTGTTTTTTTCTTTTTTAATACTTACTCACGCTGTGTTGCTTTTAGACTTCAGCTTAACTACAAGAACGGACCTTGAAGGATGCATGTGAAGCCTGCTTAGAGTTCACATGCGTCAGGGCCCCAAGATGGTGTACCATCCCAGTCCATACCACCCCATCAAGAGAAGACTTCTCAGTACTTTTCAATCCTTGTCATCAGAACAAGGACTCTATACCATCCAGCCTTTCTATTATAATCTCAGTGGACAATCACACTGTCTTAGCTAGACAACCAAACATTTCAGAATCACCAGAAACAAAACACTTTTAGAGACAAACAGAAAGAAAACACTCTCACCATGTTTTGAGTCATGACTAATTGTTTTTGACATTTAATTTCAGTTTAATAGGAATTAGTTGTGGCTCTAACATTTACATTGATGCGGAACATGTGCACATCCTACAGAGAAGCTCAATGTCATTAACCACACAATTCAGGCAAGCCAGGGGACCAGAGGAGGAAAATGCTTTGTTTATTTAGCATCTATGCTGTCATATGAGATCAATTTCTTCATGAAACAACAACCTATCACAGGAAAAATGAGTATTTAGTATTTCCCCCTCTATAGCAGAATCGAATAGTTGTTTCCACTGCTTTGGAGATTGTAAAACCCCATTACAGAAACACACAGGACAGAAAGTGATAAACCGAATAATACATTTATAAAATGGGTGCTCTAAAGATATTCTTTACCTTATTTTTCCTGTAAGAAAAGCTTGAAGGATCAACAAAGAAATTCTCTACCAGCATACAACTATAGTTGGGAGGGGAAGGAGGGCTGACAGAGAGGGTATACCATATCTGTAGTATTTGACCATTCGTGGGTATTTAACAGAAGGTAGAAAATTAATAATTTAAAAAACCTAGGGGAAATCTAAATACATATCTATCTATCTAATATCTATATCTATATATATATATATACACACACACACATAGACAAATATGTGTGTATATACTTACAAAACAACCACTGGATTTCTTTTCCCTGCGAGACAGCAGCTGCTTTAGAGAGAAGTGGTAAAAGCTTTGCTGGGAAACATCTGTTGTTGACCTCAAATACCTGGATAGAAAGTCAGTACATGGTTTATGAAATGAAACTTTACAAGTTTACAAAGAGTGAAAACATGTATAGACATTCTCAACTGCCAAATGGTCAAAACCTGAAATTGTGATGAAATCTGAAGGACTGAGGATCACAGGAAAAAGCCATGTCTAAATATGATGGTGTTGTCCTCACAGGAGCAACAGGCAAGGTGAGAGCACTGCAGAAGAAACAGTAACACTGTTAAAGCCAGAGCTGCACCCAAGTTTAAAAGGAAGTGTGACTACCTAAGTAGGTGGTGGTTTCCATAGCTACTTCACAATCCTATGAAGAGAGTGTTATTGCTGTGTCCATGAATGAAGCACTGGGAATGAGCATGCTCGACAGTATGACCTCCAGTCAAGTCAGACTCACAGGTGGTCCTAAGAACACCACTCCCATGGCAGCCCCTACAGTGTCTAAAACCTCTAGGGTGAGCATTTGGACAGAAAAAGAAGACATGCATGTTTCTAATTAAGAGTGACAATGTAACAAATGCACTCATTATAGCTGTTAGAGTACTCTGCTTTAAATATTACAGAAAACTCCTAAACTGTGAAAGTACAGTATGTCAGTCTTTAAAACCACTTGTAAAAGAGAACAGGTCTGTTGAGTATCAGAAGACAAAATCAACAGAAAAATGTAACTAAAAATACAATCTTTGAAAAATTTGTGGCTAAATTGTAGGCTAGGTTTTAAAAACAGACTGTTTTTGGTTCATGAGGCCATTAACAAACAAAAGATAAAGGAATCTTATTCATAAATACGTACTCAAAGCTCAAGGAAAAATTCCATACTCTTCTCTCTTTGATGGGTGTGCTAAGTGACCATCATACATCATCTTCTGAAGGACACAGTGACTACTAGGTGACCTCTGAGATACATAGCTAGTACTTATTATATTAACATATGCCAGAACTTACTGCATAGGATGTCTGGCTTTCTCCCTCAAGGTCAGGGCTCAGGAATGGCCCACAGGTAAAACTAACCTGGTGCTTGTTTCTGTAAATAAATTTTTATTTAAAAAAGTCACATTTTTCTCCCTATGTTGCCTGTGGCTTTTACATTGTAAAGGCAAGGGTGAACAGTTTTTAAGAGACTGTTTGTTCTCTGAGAGCAGATCCTACACAGAAGGAGTTGCTGGCACATCACCTAGGGCTTAATTCCTAGGTGTCTAGAACAACACAAGGGCCTTTGCTTTCACACACAGGTACCTGGCTTCCTTGCATTCTGATGTGTCTGTGACTAATCTTCTATGCTTTAGTTTGTTCATTTGTGTGTATCCTGAAATTTTAACACCACAGCTGGAGTTTTCAATTGTAATATATTTGGAACATAATCATTATCTCTAGCCATAATCTTGCTTGATGTCAGGCATTCTCCAAGAATTAGAGATGAATGAACTGGAAGAGCCACCCAGCAACAGAGAAGCTATAAAAACTGTCCCTCTTGTTTTCTCCTGACTAAGGAAACAGGCTATTGAAAGGAGGAACAAAAACCAAATACACTTCAGAGTAAATACCAGCAAGTCAGGGGAAGGAGCTCAGCTTTCACACAGAAAGGCAGACAGCAGATAGCCAGCCAGACATTGATATGTGTGTAAACATGTACACACACATACATGTACACACATACATACATACACAGATACACACACACACACACACGGAGTCATCCCCATGTCTATTATAAACTGAAAAATACAACATAAAGTATATTTGTTTTATAAATATATTACTGTCAATATACATATAGATACATCCATAAAAGACACGTTAAATAATCATTTGTATAATCAATACTACTTTTTGTGTATTTAAAAATTACACATTCTATTAAAATTATCAAAATAATTTTTAAAATACCAAGAATAAAACCAACCAAGTGTTTCTTTCCATGTTAGTGGTTCTGAATCTTATGTTCAAATAGACCCTAGACTTGGTCACAAAACTCAAAGAAACATAGTTCAACCAGGAAAATGCTATCCATTAAACAACCCCCCAAACATGTGTATATATAAAACACCCTCTTTAGGTATATTACATAGTCTCATAAATGTATTTTCATAAAAACACAAAATTCAAGTTTCCACCAGTGTCAAATATTTTATACTGGTGACCATGACTTTCACTGTGTAGGTCAGTGACATATTCCCATTAGGATAACAAGACTGAAAACGTCTGTATTACATGCAAGAACAGAGGAAGTGCTACGGCCATTTTGGCCAGTTAGGTACTAATCCCTCTGGACTAAGACACAGGGACAAACGAACTGCTCATCACTGTCTATTATTCAGGGGCAGATTATTCCAGTCGGAGTCCTTTTTATCAGCTGACCAATTCTGACTTTCTTACTACTTATTAACACACCATTTCCAGGTTGTTTATTTATTTACTTTAGAAAGTCTGGTAAATAGGAATTAGCAATTGGGAAGAAATATTTTTGCTAAAATTAAGGTCTATGATCAGCTATGAACTTGATAACAGACTCCTGTTACTTATTACTTGAGATACTTGAGAATTTGATGTAGCTAAAGTCTGCCAAATATGTTCAACTCTGCAAGCAACGTTGGTGTTTCATTTAAGACTCTCTTCTTGTCCTAAGGAGACTTTTCCTTAGCACACAGCTAATGGTACTGAGAAATGGAGGTGTGGGTGGGTTAGAGCTACCCACTCCTTGACAGACACTGGCAGGGGTTATATTAAAGATGAAAAAGAGGGCAGCTAGTCAGCTAAAATCATTACAAGGCCAAATTTCAAAAGTTGTATCCTTTGTACCCAAAGTCTCACATTATTTTAGTCAAGTCTGCCCATTTCCAAATAATCACAGTGCTAACATGAAGCAGAAGTGACAGGTTCATCTGAAGCGACTTCCTACTCTAGCTCACAGTACGACTGGGTAAAAGGAACCCCACATTTGCAACCCTGTTTTTGGCACTCTTAGCCTCCACAATTCAACCTGTCCTTCAGCTAATGACTGACAGAATCAAGGACAGTCGCCCAAGTCAGCCGCCATTCTCAGACAGACGCCACTCGGAATGGCTGGGGTGGCGCTGTCTGCATCACTCTCGGGAAAGATGTGCGCCACACTCACTCCAACACAACAGCAGTAACTGTAGAACAGCACTTTCCTGAATTAAGTTTGCTGAACATGGTTCAGATTATTGGATATGCTAATATGCACAATGCCGTTTAGAAGCATTTACTGTGTACCCAAATCCTACTCCATGCAACACACAGTGTCACACAAGTAGTGAAAATGTTATCCTAGTCGAAGATGCTTGGACGTTATTTTCAGGCAGCATTTTATCTTTATTTTAAGTTAAGTTCACACTAGGTAAATTTTAGGAGAAAGAAAATGCCAATAAATTTATTTAATATATTTTAATATATAAAACTAAGACAGACACCTTTATTTACCTTAATTGTTACTTTTATTTTCTATCCTATTCTAGACTTCGATTTTACTTTAAAATTTTATATTTAAATAAGGGATAAAATGTTGCCCAAAAGTCTAATTATAGTTACACATTTGTGTTTTTAACTAGATCTACAAATCAAAATAGTTCTTATTGTTAAAAAGATACAATTTGTATCAACAGTAAAAGGTACTTTCTGGTTTTCAGGGCTTTGCTTCTCTTAGGTTACAGGAGCATCCAGACCAGAGCACCCAGGCTGATGACAGGAACAGAGCTGGACTTGTCCTTTACACTAAGTGACTCAGGCTCAAATTCTGTCCAGCGCAACACCATCTGCTCTGATCGTGAACCCATCTTCCAATCCTCAGAAACGTCACTACAGTAAGCAAACCCCGTGACTTTGCAACCAGAAATATCCCTTACTAATACTAGAACAGACCTTAGTCTGTATCTAAAACTACACTATTTGTGGCAAGAGTGTGGCCTCAATAATATAATAGGCCCCCAAAAAACTACCTTCAGGAAAATGGAAAATATACAATATATTACAAAAATTCAAAGTTACCATTTACAAGTTCCCCATTGCCATTTCTATAGTGCAGTATCAATAAATGTTGCATCTCCTCAACACATCAGACCACCTCAGGCCAGCCTTGATAAAGAGCAGGAAAGCTAGAGTGTATTAAATATAAAAGTTGCATTGAGAATACTTAGATTCATTAAAAACAGGCAAGTACTGTGAAAGGGTTATTCATCCAGTATCGTGCCTCCCATAGACAGACAGACGTTAAGAACATACGTGAATGGAAAACTAGGACTTCAGTCTCATTTCTACTGCCAAGAAGCACATTTCAACTGGAAAACAAAGCTTTAACCTGTAATAGTTACGGCTTTTGCCTTATTCATAAAAAAGAAAATGGAAACATTTTTCCATTGATTGCATCTGCTTTCTTTTAAACTGACCATTTAAAATTAACTAATTTTCTTAACAGGAAACCTCCAAACAAAAATAAAATAATAAAAAGTGCCATACTGGAAATCTTTCTAATATGTACTATTACCCATTTTAATATAACTGGTAACTTACATTTCATTTAAAATATAAAGTCAGTGCTGTAGTATATCTTTGTTTCTATAAATAATGATTATAGCACAAAGAAGCCCACTTTCCCCAAATAAAAATAACTTAAAAAGCTGTAAAGGATTCTAGTTAAGCTTGGCTTGAGGGAATCGTTGGCTAGATCTAGTCCAGTACCTCCACATCTGGAAGGTACTGCAATTGCTTGCAGTTGACAGACAAACACCAAGTTAATAAGACAGGAAACAAGGATTAAAAAGTGCTGCATATAAACCCCTGATGCACCAAAGAGGAATATCAAAGATCACAGATACATCTATTAAATCAAACTGGAGAAACTTCCAGCCAAGTGTATAGCTTTAAAAAGGAATTTTTTTTTTTTTAAAAAAAGTCTGAATGTAAAGCAATCCCGTGATGTGTCCACCAAATGGGGTTCCATAGAGATTCCATGATACAGTAGTTCACATAAATGGATACTATATAACCTCCTTGCTGAGAAGGAGATCACATGTGCTATTGTAGCAAACCTCCCTCAGCATCTGAGCTGAACAAAAAAACTAGTCGACACCACAAAGATGCATCATCTGTTCAATACCCCAGCTGGGATTTCTCCACGAGGATGGCTGCGGCAAGCTGCTGAGCATCCGTCATGTGCGGATTCCTTTTCATGACGAGCCTCACAAGTTCAGGGGGGAAGATGTTGCACAGATTGATAAAAATCTTCTCTCGGTTGTCCTGGTACCTCGGGGGATCTTGTGGCATGCCACAGTATGGGATGCGCCAGGTGGGCTCCGGCTGCTCAGGCAGGCTCTGGAAGGTGATTGACTCGTAACAGGGGGGTGTGGAGTTATCGGGTAAGGAGTAAGTCTGCCGATAGCCGTAGGCATCCATCCCATAGCTTGGCCTATCCCAGCTTCCTAGGCCTTCCTGGCGTGAGTAAGGCTTCCTTTGTCTTGAAGGAGAACTATCATAGAGTCGAGAATCAGAAATGCTGTCTATTCTCGTGGCCACTAGGGACCTTCCGAGGTGTGGCGCCTTCGAGTGTGTGGAGCTTGGTGGAGAGGGGTAATCACCGGGACAGCTGGACCGGGCACCCACAGCAGGGTGCTGCAGATGCATAGCCAAGTGTGGAAGGGGAGGCTTGGGATGGAACTTTGGTTCTTCGTGACTGTAACTTTGCACTCTGGTTAAGGGGTCATGGAAATTCTGCAGGAAGGGCTGGGAATTAAGGCGGCTGTGAGGGTGCATGTGTTGACACTTCAGATTCTCTTCCAGTTGTGGGTCAGGAGAGCTGACATAGGACCGGTCGTTGTACCCCACATAGGAGTCGCTGCTCCCACAGCTCATGCTCCCTTCACTGCTGCAGTCTGAAGCTACAGAATTCACTCGATAGTCAGTGTCTAATGAGAAACGCCTTTCAGGACTTCGGGGGCCTGAGATACTCAGATTTGAATAAGCATTCAACATGGAATAATATCCAATGTCAACAGGAGAGTCACATTTTGGATACTGTTCATAAGGCATTGGCGTTCCATGATTTTTGGTTGCCATCATCATTGGAGGGTACTGTCCCTGTGGTCTTTGATCCTGAGGTGGAAAATGAACTCCAGATGGAAGGCCATTGCTTAAAGATGTAGTGCTTTGGGGTTTTGCAGTAGGAGTGGCCGGTATACTAACTAAGGAAGGTACAGACCTGGTTTCCAATTTGTTTTTGGTGGGAAGCTTTTCCTCTATGTCTTGGTAGACGTGAGTCCTTATGCTTGGGTCTGACTGCCTCTTTGGAGCGCCTCGTTTAACGTCTGAAGTGCTATCAACCTTAGTGCTACAAGGAACGCTGTTGCTTTTTACCAGTCCTCCTTCATTTGTAGTTTTGGCTGCTGTGTTTCTAGACATGGCACGAAGTTCATCAGCTACTGACCGCTGAGGCTGGCTGCCCCTTTCTGGGTGGTAATATTTGCACTTGTGTCCGTAGGTGCACTTCTTTCCTATGAAGATAAAATCAGTTAGGCTAAGGAGCATGCCATGAGATCCTGCACAGTCAGCGAGGCACGCCTATCTGAACTTGAGAAGGAAAGGCAGAAGAGGGAGATGGGCTAAGTCTTAGTCTGTTCCTCACTCTCTTCAGCATTCTTGCTTACTATGGAGAGCAAGGAGGAAACTCAGTTGATGTCTCAGATCATATCTGCCTCGTCTCTTCCAGATCTTTATGACTGGGTGGGAAATTCTGCTATGAAGTGAACTGTATGCTGCAACGTGATAAAGCTCTGCTTATCTATTCGTATCTAGACAGAATTCCCAATATTCATTCCCATAAACACTAACTTCGAACAGAATTACAGCTATTTTCAGACCATATTTTCACTCAGAGAAATTCATGTATTGAACCCAAACAGGTAAAAACAGTTTTAAGGCTAACACACGTTCTTAAATTTAATATAATCAAAAGAAGCACATAGTATCCATCTGAGACTTTTCAGTGTTTATTGACATTAGTCCAAGTTTAATAGTATATTGAGCTCTAAGGGTGCATGGAAAGTATTCATAAGGACAGTTACCATATGGACAAGGTTGCTTTTTGTGCTCAGGAACAATGGGCTTCTTTCTCAGAAAATTATCCAGACTTGGGCCATGTCTTCCAAGAGGGTCATCAGGGGGCATGAACCTGTCACAGAGACAACAATAAAAAAAATGACACCCCAAAATATTAATCCTAAAGATATAGTTACTTATTCTCTTTTCTTTTGAAATTTTTATCCAATTGTCTTGACTAATATTTATAAGATCAAAAATATACCAAGTTCTCCTATAAAGTGCAGCTTTCTCCTGAACTTGTATCTGTTTTGATTTAAATAAGTTTTGACACAGCATGTCCTAACAATGCTTTTTTTTCTTCTTCTTCCAGTCTTGGGATGTTTGAAAGGATTTGAATAATAATTACCAGGGCATTTTGGGAGATCTCTATCAACACCATTCTTGCAAGGGAATGCAGGGCAGGTGGGGGCTGTGGAGCAGCTGAGACGGGAAAGGTGGGGGATGGGCAGCAGGGAGGACGGAGACTCACTTGATGCCAGATGTGCCAGATGTGCTACACACTACTGCATTTCCAACTTCAAGCTCCATTTGACATATCAATCAATAATTTTAACTTAGGTTCAGATGAACTAAGTCACTAGTGTCTAACATCCAATTACAAAGTCAAGATTCAATTACGCGGGACTCTCAAGTCTGTTCTCTTCCCATTATAGCAATGGCTTCTCAGCTGAGATGGAAAAATGAGTTGTGAGGAGGCAGAGTATGCCTGTGATCCCGACCTAGATAACAGAACACGATCCCATCTGAAGGAAAATTGTTTTTTTTTTTTTTTTTTTTTTTTAAGTTCAGGTCTGAGCAGGGCAGTGGTAGCACACACCTTTAATCCCAGAACTTGGGAGGCAGAGGCAGGTGGATCTTTGTGAAATTGAGGCCAGCATGATCTACAAAGCATGTTCCAGAACAGACAAGGCTACACAGAGAAACCCTATCTCAAAAAACAAAAGACAACAACAAAAGAACAACAACAACAACCACACACACACACACACACACACACACACACACGTCAGATCTAGGTCACTGATCTGAAATCCTAGCTATGTGGCAGAGGGGAGGAGGTTAAGACAAAGGACAGCAAGTCCAGGTTTCCTAGGCTACAGATGAGTTCCAGGCCAGCCTAAATAAGTTAGAGACCGTGTCTCAAAAGGACTAAGAAGTAAAACCACGGAGGCTGTAACCCAGTGACAGTGCGCTGGCCTGGCACACACATGTGAGGCCCTGGCTTCGGTTCCTACTACTAAAGGAAGGAACTGAACCTAAGGACACAAGCTTCTTGTTGGGTTGACTATCAGAGGAAGGAAAGAATTCATATCATGCACAGAAATAAATTCTAATACTTGTTACACCTTTGTTCTAACTTGAAATAAATCCAAGTGTTTACCTACAAAATGAGAATATGCACAATAGAGAAACTTATTGAGGAACAATCAAAATGGCTAAAGTGCTAGTATTACAAAAGCAAACTGGCAACATTGCAGGAAAAACTAGAGGCTAGGGATGTAGTTCAGTAGAACACTAGAGGCTAGGGATGTAGTTCAGTAGAACACACGAGTAGCCCGAGTGAGATCCCAGGTTCCATCCTTAGCATTGCTAAATAAAAATATTTTCCATGTTTCTTCCCTCCTCTCTTCTCTTGACAGTCTCACTCTGAATTTGCTATTCTTCTGTCTCAGCCTGTGTAGTGGAGCTCACAGTTGTGTGCCAAAATGCCCACTTTCCACACTTGTCATCGTCACACGTGGCGAGCTGGGCAGTAGTGCAGCAGGTGTGCACTGCAGCTTGACTGGTTTCTCTACTCTGTGCTTAGTCTAGTTGTCTTGGAATTCTTTAATTCTAAATATAAAAATCAGCTTATCTGATCTTTGTTTTCCTCATTAATATATTCTAAGGAATAATGTAAGGCTGGGAGTGTAAACATATTTATAAGCTTTTGCTAAATTGTATAACAGTTTTCATAAATTTCAAATTTGTAATCTTTCCTTTTCTGTGCATGGGTGGTTTGCCTGTATGTCTGTGCAGCATGCAGATGTGCATGCAGTGTTCAGGGCAGGTCAGAAGAAGGTGCTGAATCCCCCGGTACTAGAGTTACAGATGGTTGTGAACTGCCATGTGGATGCTGAGAATTAAACCTAGGTCTTCAAGAAAAGCAGCCAGTGCTCTTAACTGTTGAGCCATCTCTCTGGTCCCAGGTTTTATGCATGTTTAATAGTGTAAGTATTCATGTCTTTGTGAATGAATCAGTTAAGAAAATAAACTCCTTTGAGTTTACACTGACAACAGGTAAGCCTCTTCCACATGTGTGCTGGCACTCGGGCTTCCTTAAGTCACTTATCTTTCTCTCAACTTGAAGGCTGCGATCACAACCACAGTCTTCCTTGGTAACACAACTTTAAAATGTAAGTTATCATGTGCTAAGTTGACTTGACAGGCTTTTGGGTGGGGCGGGTAGTATAGATGTTTTGTCAGCCAGGTCCCTCAGACACTCTAAGAAGCTTCTTTGGCCTCAGGTACTGTGCTAGCAACTCAGGGAAGGGCACAAAGCTCACACTTGCCCCCTATAGCACAAGTGTTCCATTTTGGCTCCCCTCAGGATGAAGAGGAAACTGCCGTCAGAAGAAACCAGTCTCAGGTCTGGTCAGTGGCAAAATGGGAAGGATATTAATGCAGCTATGGCTTATGACAGTTGGCTGGCTTACTTACTTGTCATTGACAAAGGAATACATTAATAACCGTTCATCTATGAACTTCTTCCATTCTGGCTTCTCATTCGCCAGATCTCTGTAGTTATCGTTGGACACAATGATGCCGTCAGACTCAAAGGCCAGCTTCACGATGAACCGGTCATCATAACACACCACCCGTCTGCCCTGGACGCGCCGGGAAGGTGTAAACACCAGGATTTTTTCCTTCTCTAGTTTCCGCAGGATTTCCTGGTCTGCAATAACACAGGGTAGAAATTCAGGGGTAAAGACATGGTGACTTTCGTATAATCAGAGGCTTTTTTTTTTTTTTTAAAAAAAAAAAGAAAATCTAAGCGTTTATTTTGTGGATGAGTGTTTTGCTTGATGTAGGCTGGTGCACCACGTGTGTGTCTGGTCCCCACAGAGGTCAGATGAGGTTATTACATCCCATGAATCTGTTCTTACAGACGGTTGTGAGTGCCATCTGGGTGCTGGGAAACAAACCAAGTTCTCTATAAGAACAAGTGCTCTTAACCATTGAGCTTTATTCCAGCTTCCTGTGAGAGTTTTTTAGGAACGGGAACGTAGAGATTACAAATCACACAGTAGATGGTCACAGCATAATCAATAACTCCCAACAAGACTTTTAGAACTTTCAGTCATAAAAGCTTTGGAGCTGAAGTCAGCAGCACCAATGTGATGTCATAGCTGAGGCTCTGCCCCACAGGGCTGATGTCAGCAGCACCAGTGTGATGTCACAGGGCTGATGTCAGCAGCACCAATGTGATGTCACAGCTGAGGCTCTGCCCCACAGGGCTGGAGTCAGCAGCACCAGTGTGATGTCACAGATGAGGCTCAGCCCCACAAGGCTGGAGTCAGCAGCACCAGTGTGACGTCACAGATGAGGCTCAGCCCCACAAGGCTGGAGTCAGCAGCACCAGTGTGACGTCACAGCTGAGGTTCTGCACCACAGGGCTCATACTGAGCTGCTATGCTGCCTCCCTTCTGAGCAACAGCACTTTCTCTCATCTGTGAGTGTGTTGTAGTTTTTATTTTTCCTAAATAGAAGCTGTAATGAAGGGAGCAAAAGAAACACTTGAAATACAGGCCCACAAGAACAAGGCAGTGGGGCAGCGGTGCTTGTACAAATATGGCGCCACATGTTCTGCATCCTGTCCTCTGAAATGTGGTAATAAATGTCACTAAATAATTTTCAAAAACCCACCCAAAATTCTACAGATAGTTACTACCTGTTTTCTTGTGGTATGTGTTATGAGTTCAGTGGTCACTGGAGTTTAGAATAGACTAGAGGTGGAAATGTGGGTGTCAGAATAAGCACTCATGCATAAAACTCAAGTTTTGCTAAACTTCACACGAGGAAATCACAATCTCACTGAACCTGCTTCTTTGTTTCTGAAATGCAGTGGGCAGGCTGGAAGGAGAGAACTAGTTAACATATGGAGAGGGGCCAGGAAGCTCCCCTTCACCCATGGACCATGCTCTTCAACCTAACTTGAATGTATTTCAATCACATGCAATTGTTGATCTCTTTAAAATTCACAGAAAACCAGTGCAAACCCTAAAGTCCAGATCCAATAACAGAATCCAGCATGTTCCAGGTATCTGGAGGGCAGCACAGTGCTCTGTCCTGTCTCATTGGTCTCTGTATCCATCAGTGCCCAGTGCATGAAGCACATTAGTAGATACTCAATGAATGTCTAGGGAATGCAGGAATAAGGAGCCACTAAAGGGTGCAAACTCTGAAGTTTCTACTCATTCCCTCTATCTTGCTCCTGAGTAACTCATGGGCCTCTATTTCCCAAGAAATGTTTGCTTTGAACCTCACTGAAGAAGCTGGCAGAGGAAACGAAGCAACCTAAACCACCATCACTTGTTCAACTTGTGCTTATGAAACAGTTTGTAAGGTTGAAAAAAATGTTAGATGACAGATAGATAATTCCAGCTTAAAAATGCAAGTTTAGTATATAAGCTAGTAAGTTAACATAGCCAGTGCATGTTAAGTATTTATTAAGTGAATAGAAGATTAGCGAGGCTGAACCCATGACTCTGAAAATTTTAATGTATGCCTTATTTATTTAAACCTGGTGAAGGAGTACTGAACTATTCCATTCACCAGAGAGTATGTGCTTGGTGGCTTTAGTCAAGAAAAGTATTACTTTGGGAAAGAAAACACTTTAAAGACTCTGATTATCATTCCACCACTTTACAAAGTAACAGGCACTCTGATGTTTTCTGGGGCCTGGCATGCTGGGACTTTTCCCTGGACTCTGCCATGACCCAAACTGGAAGATTCTTATTTCCCTTCTTGATCTCATATCTTCCTTCCTCAAGAAGCACAAAAGTCATTTGCACAATTCAACATCACTTTTCCTTTATTTTATTTTTCAGATAGGATCATGCTAAGTAGCCCAGGCTAACCTGAGATCCCTTAATCACTGGGAAAGACTGCAAGACTGAAAACACAGCCAGTACAGAATCCTATATATATATTTATCCTTTACATACACATCTTTGATAAAACTCAATTTTTAAATTAGGCACAGCAAAATTAAATTATAATAAACATGTCTTAGATTTTCTACTGTTGATAAACACCACGAACAAAAGCAGCTTGGGGAGGAAGGGTTATTTAATCTTAGTTTACAGCCTCATAATTCAGGGAAGCCATAGAGGAATGCCGCTTACTGGTTTGCTCCTGTTCCCTGCAGCTTGATCAGTTTGTTTGCTTATAACGCCCCAGCCCAGGTGGTACTACCCACAGTGACCTGACCCTCCACATCAATCATCAGTCAAAGAAGTGCTCCATGGGCATTTCCTGAACTGAGGTCCCCTCTTCCCAAAAGAAGCTAGCTGGTGTCAATTTGACATAAAATGAGCCAGGAAAAAATGGAATGATTGAAACAATATACTGTTAAAAATGATGTTGGACATTATGGCACTACATGGCCCAGAAACCTCAGCACATACTTTTTTCTTCTTTATAAATTTGAGAAGTCCTACCTTTTCACTTAAAGGGTTTACTTTACAGCTTTTCTGTGGCGACACCCAAACTGTTAGTAACCTTTATCTTTAGGCTACTACTAAATAAAATAAGAGCTACATATGCATAAGCATTGCAATAGATAATCTGCTTGTCCTAGAGGGCTGCCAGGCAATGGTTGGGGCACAGAGTAGCACCCAGAGGTTGGAGATGCTGCACAAAGGGAAGATTCCTTTCCTAGATGGGACAGTGTAGGATAACACAGTATTTCATCAAATGACTCAAAACACTGTGCAATTTTAAATTTATGACCTGTTAATTTTTAGAAGCATCCATTTAATATTTTTAGCTCAGAGATGACCTTATCTGACCCAAACTTCAAAAACTTTGAATGAAGTGGAAACTATTGAATCAACATTTTAAGATAAACATATTTGAGGGTGGTTGTGGTGATCTGTACTTCCTGGGTGTAAGAGCAGCTTCCTCAAAGCACTGAATATCAGCTGTTAATGTGAATTTGATGGATGGAAAGTAGTAATTGTTTAGATTTGTATATTTTTGACTACTGAGGTTGGACGTTTTCCTTATTTGGTTCTTGTGAATTGTTTATTCCAACCACTTTATTCTTTACAAGTTAGAAACAGCTTTGTGTTTGTTAATTTGTGTGAATTCTTAATATTAAGGGTATTTTTAAAATGTAATCAATAGATACTTAGTTTTAAGAAAGCCTACCAAGAGGTTGAAATTGAAATTTGCTTTAATTAACTTTTTTCCTCACATCACTTCTAAAATTTCTAAATTTAGAAAGGCTGTTCCCCTTCCCACCTCAAAGACTACAATCTCTGATGACTTAATTTTGACAACTTATTCTTCATTTATTATTACAGGGCATAAGGTAAGAACATAAGCAAATTATTTTTTTTCTGGGGTTATTTCACCATTTTTGTTCTTTTTGCTGGATCGCATGGGCATTCCACTCTGTAGTTTGACATAGCTACATGGGGCCTAAATAGAGGGAGAACATGAGCCTCCAAGGTATGGTTGAGGGGAAGGTTTTTACTGTAGACTTGAGGGAGGGTACAGCCAGAGGCATCTGGAGGAGTCTAGGGCAGGGGAAGAAAGTAGTAGGCCAAATAAGACCATGGGGGAGGAGGGCAGCAAGAGAAGAAGAGAAAACAGAGAGGAGAGCAGAGAGAGAGGCAAGAGACGGTGGGGGGGGGGGTCAAGAGAATTCATGGCAGAAATTGAATGGATTCTCATAAGAATGAGATGCTGGAGGAGGGGAAGCCCAAGAGCTGCAGAAGTTTAGGGGAAAGGGTGGGGTGAGAAGATCCCCAGGGCCTGAGTGATCCTGGAGACCAGCAAGCACGTTGGTGAGCTAATAGACACCATAGACAGCCATCTGTCCTCAGTTCCTTTTAGACCTGACAGAACCCATGGCTCAAGCCCCCATCAATGCTTGCCAATTCACCTCACCCTATTTAACATTGCCTTCATGATATCAGATAAAAGAAAACCTTAAGACAATCTTTCTCACTGGAGGCATGGTCTCAGTCTCCTTTATTCCTTCCATCCTTCCCTTCCTCTGAAAAGTTCTATAGTTCTGCTCATATGGGTTCTTCATGGTTTTGGGTGAGAGAGAAGGACTGGATACTCCCTGGAAGTCAGTATGACTGAATCAAATGTTCAACAAGAATGAACAATTAAAGAAGGCATGTTTGCCTCAAACTCATACATTTAAAAATGACAAAATAATGCAAAAGTAAATGTATTTCTGGGTTCTGGTAATTTCCTCCTTTTTTGGCTGGATCACATACACCAGGGTCTTGCCAGGCCTTTTATGTCCTGTAGCCACTAGAACTTGACAGCTGCCTAGGTTAATTTCATAGAGATGACAAACATGGTTTCTGAAGAGCTTCAGTGTGCTTTTCCAAGTACTATGGAGTGAACGCCACAGCTAGAACAGATCTACTAAGAATGTCTCAGAGAGTGAGAACTTTATAAAATTTGATGTCAATGTTTCCACATCAATGAAAAATATCTGACTTATATATTGCTGTGGTATTTGAATGAGAATGGTCCCCATAAGGTCTCCAGTGGGTGAGACTGTTTGGGAAGGACTAGGAGGCGTGGCTTTGCTGGAGGAGGTGTGTCACTGGGGGTGGGCTTTGAAGTTCCCAAAGACTCCTGCCAATCCCACTGTCCCCTCTGCATACTGCGCTCTGTCTGAGATGGGACCTCAGAGTTGCTCCTGCTGCCAGTTTGGCTCCATCATCATGTCTATCACAGCAACAGAAGTCATGAATGCATGCAGTATTTAGTTAATATAATTATATAACAGAAAGGTCACTAATGCATACAGTTTTTAGTTAATATAAATACATCATTTCAAACTGGCAAATAAAAAAGGTTCCATCCAAGACAATGGCAGTAGTCACATAGCCAGAGTAAGCAGAAACAGACTGAGAAGCCCCAGAGTGTCAGGCACCTGCATGGGGATGTCATGGGCACAAACAGCCATTTGCAAATGAGCTTACCTGTGATGAGAGCATCAGGTCGGGATTGCTCTTTTCTCCAAGCAGGAACAAAAACCGTAATATCTTTGTGGCCTCTTTCCAAAAACCAATCCACTGCCAATTTTATTCCTCGGCAGGAGAATACTTCTTTGTTTCCATGGCTGAAAAATTATTATTATTTAATAAATTATACTTAAAGCACAACAAAACCTAAATACAAGTTTATGAACAGAAACAGTCATGTAATTGCAATAAGAGTAATAAAGTTGAAATTTAATGTAAAGTAATACAACTTGGAAACACTAAAGCAGTTGACATCAATTAACTTGGTTAAAAATCAAAATATGTGTGAAAAAAGAAAACTGAGATAATGTTGACAACAGAGAAAGGTAAGATAATGTTAGGCTACAAGGGTTAACTAATCAAAACGATACAAGTTACTTTTGCTGATGAAAGGGTAAAAAAAGTATTCATCAGGAAGAATTTCAGTAAAAAATAGAAAAGGTTGACATACAGACACACATAAACATACACTGATACACAGAGACACACACAGATATACACACAGACACACACACACTCAAATAAATAAAAACCAGTGGAAAACATTACCATTTTCTAAAATATTTGTCTTTCCAAAGAATTTTAATTATACATTTCATCTAATGGCTAAGTAATGCATAAAGCTGAGGTAGGTAAATTAACACACAAAATGTTGTACAAATAAAAAAAAAACATGCACAAAGGTGAGGGTGTACAATAATACCAATGCTTATTGAAATGGGAAAACATTCACAAATACTTTATGTCCTACATGCTAAGTTCTGCCCAGCACCACTGTGGGAGACAAGATTAATGGTAGCTACATTCAGAACTGGACTAGCGGTGCCAGTTGGCTACTCTGTTAGCATTTACCTGCACCAGCTCACTTAAACCCTTTGTTCTAGTAATTAAATATGACACATTCTAACATAAAAACGTTTCCTGCTTCAGAGATGCTGCCTTGTTCTCCAGTATGAACATTGCTGGCTTCATTTCTCATATATTTTTTCTTCTTAGAACAAAGGAAGGCATAAGAAAATAATATAGGTAAATGCTTTGCTAGCTTTTAACATGTTATCAGATATTCTATACTGTCCTAGTTGGAAGTACCAGAACCTTCTAACACAATTTATTATAAAATAGAAATGAAGTCTACTTGCTTTGAAGACGGTGAAGGCTGAAAGTGCACTGTGGGCTGCTTACGGTCCTATCTAAATGGTCCAGGACAAGGCTAGAGGTGAGGTCTGAACTGAAAGGTTCAGAGGATGGGAGAAGGCAGAGCCTGAGGTCATACTTCCTAAGTATGACAGCTGCCCACAATGTGATGTTAGGTTACATGGGAAATACTGAATGAAATCTCATCTTTCTTCCGAGAAGAAAAAATTTAAAAAATCCTAAGTTATCTCTGGAAAGAATATACACAGCAAGGATTCCTAGGTACACCCCACTTGCTAAAGCTTAACTACACTGTTAACTTTGATTTAACAACTTGAGATCCAAAACAAACTGAGAGCCAACAGTGTGATTACTTCCTTGAGGTCTCAAGACAGGCCTGCATAAGTGTTTTCTTCCCGGGGCTTCATTTGGTGAGAGAGAATTGTCACACTCACACTAGAAAGAAAGGTTATTAATAAATAACTTTCACAAAATGTGTATAAACAGTAGAATATTAAAAATTCTAGAGGTGCCAGAGCAGGAGACTGTAGGCCACAAACATGGTTGGGCTAATCAAGGCAGACTGTCTGAATTTTTTCTGCTCCATCCACACCGTCCACAAGCTTCTGAGGGAGAAAACAGGCAAGAGGGTGAAGGCTGGCCTCAGGAAGGGTGAGCACACACAGGGTCTTCCTTTCTGAGCAGGGCACCCACATCCATGTCAGTCTGGTTCTTTGAGAAAAAGTAACTCCTGCTTGAGTAACTACAGTGAAGTTTCTGCTGTTTGCATTTGAACATATCCTTTACTTCTACGGGGCATACTATATACCAAAGAAAATTGGCATCACTTTATTAATTCTAGGGGAAAATATACTTGTATACAAAAACATTATTAGGGTTTTACAAAGCTATCACAGAGAGGAGCATACATAGGAAGCTACAGTAATGCTGGATTCTGTCTCTGGATTAGTACGGCAGAAGAACACAGGATTACTAGAAGAAACGAGCAAATGCTCACTCACACAAAATTACACGGAAGAAAGGAGCATCATTTGAATGCTGATCTAATGGACACACACAATCCTGCAAAGATTAAATAAGAGAACAACGTTTCAAGAACCCACAGGAGCTACATGAACAGTCACTTCAGAAAAGAGGGAACCCAAATGACCAATAAACATGGAAGATGCTCAATAGTAAAAATGCAAATTAAAGCCAAAATGAGACACTGTTTCACACCCATCAGATGGGTAAAAATAAAATCTGCAAACACCAGATGTTGCCAAGAATGTGTGAAAATAGGAACTCATACATTACAGGTTGGAGTGTAAATTGATATAACTTTTTGGGAGAGCAATTTGGCAATATTATAAACTTGAGGGCGTACTTTCTCTAAAACATAGTAATTCTACATCCAAGTACAGTAAAACCCTACAGCAATGCAAAGCTGAACTTAATGCAGTTAGCCACTGGCTTTCAACCCCTAACCAGTCTCAGATTCCAAGTAGATCTAGATAAGCCAGAGTTCCGATACAAAAAAGAAAAGGCAACTGGGGTTGTCCAGGTTTGAGTCCCCAAGTATCCATGATTTTCTAAGCCAAACCTCAACTGGTCAGGTCAAAAAATGAATGTCGGCAGTGGAGTGCTCAGATACAAATACGACACCTATACTCTCCTTCATCCTAAGAATTGGGGACCATTGTGGACGAAGAAGAGAAAAGAACAAAGTAGCCAGAGGGCTGGGGAGGACCAGAACAAAACAGGGTCTTCTGAACATGATAGGACTCATGGACTCAAGGCAGCTGTGTCTGCCTTCAGAAGATCAAGCCAGTCAACATTTCAGCATGGAGGAGAGATGGGTGCATGAGTCCCCATCCCACGCTGATAAGAGAAAGGGTCAGGTTTCTTTAAGGGCGTGGCCCCCGGTAGGTCTCCATGCTCCAGTGGATGACTCCACACTCATGAGTGTATGAGAAGCACAAATTGGACTCACTGGGTTCTTAGAAACAAAAAGGACAAGAAATTGGGAGGGGGTAAGGAGGTAGGGGTGGGTGACTATAATAAACTACATACAAGCAGAGGAAGCCCTGGTGAATGTGTGCTGCTGACATGGGCATAGCAAGTCAAGGACCACAGAGCCTCAGAGCCATGGAGAATGGGGGAGCCTTCCTTGGGGGTGGTGGCTGTGCTGGTGCTGGGTATCCAAGTATGGATACTGATAGTGTATGCAGAAACGTCTACAAAATTCCCTTGCCTACATCTTTACAGCTCAAAGATTGCTCCGCTCCAGAGGTGGTGCCTACTGAGGCTACCTGTCTCCTTGATGCAGCTGCACTCCATAAACCTGCCCCCTTGTTTGTCTGTGTGTAATAATCCCATCTCCTGTTCAGCTGTATACGATAGCCCTGCCCCTCTGTTCAACTCTGTAACAAGCATGCTGAACTTCCGGGTGCTATGGTTTCTCCATCAGAATGGAGTAGAGTCCACCTGAACCTGGTTTTTCTGTGTCTTTTCTTCACCCTCTTGCTGCCCCTAGGCAGGTCCATCCCTGGACCAGTGCTAGATGTGGCAAAACACATTGTAGGAAATCCTTGAATAATTAATAAAAATACAATATTAAAAATATTAAAACAATATTAAAATATTTTTAAAAATGACCTTAGAGAGATGTCCCTATCAGCCAACAAGTCTCAGAATTATCCCTAGTAATAGATGAGTCGGAACAGAAAACCACCAGGTGGCCCCAAACTGCTTGGACTTGGACAGTGAGGAGAGAGTGGGGTCATTCAGGCATGTAGCAAGGTCTGCCTACTCACAATTCATAGCTACAAGGAGCAGCTGGGGGAGGCTGCTGGAGAAGAAATGGACTAAGTCTGACGGAGCATCACAGAAAGCAGGATCTAACGTGTGCTGAAACAACAGCTACACATCAGCCGCTGACTATGCAAAGAGCTCTTCTACAAAGAACAGAAATTTTACTGCAGCTTTCCAAGCATTTACAAACTCTATGCATACATTCAGAGTGTCTTCTTACTCAATAAAAAAAAGCTGATCCTGTATTTATAATTTAATATGTTCCTTTAGGTATCATTTTTTTATTTCAATACTATAGCAATAAGTATAGTTGACATCTCTCATGCAAACCTCATGTTAGGTTGAGTATGTTGGAGGATTTGCAGTCATCTTGGAGTAAGTAAGAGAACATGAATAAATATTTACTAAGAGCCTCCCTTCCCCAACTATTTTGGTTTAGTGGGATTGGAATTCCAGAGAAAATTCCAAGCCTCTACTGTAAGTACTAAGTTTCTGTGGAGCAAAATGGGTAAGAGCTTGAAGGTCCTAGTGGACTCAGCACTTGTTGGTTGGTATGAAGCACCCAGGTCTCATTCTTATAAATGGAGGCTTATTTTATTTGTGTTTGGAGTTGGTATATTTAAGAATCCTACTTTGCAGTGACTAGAGCTCATTTGAGGCAAACAAATTAATGTATTTACAGAGACTCTTAGATAAGTTCCATTGAAAATAAAAAAGAATCATTTCAATCTTTGAAAATCATTGTGTTTCTCAGGGAATGAAAAGGATGAACCAGATGGCCATGGAGATTGAATGAAGAAACTACTGAGAGAGGACATTCAGGGTCTTGGCCGTTTCTATCATTGCTTCTCTTGACTCTACTCCCTAATGCCTCTGTTTGCCTCATTATGAGCCCTAGAGCAGTGGGGTGGATGGACAGATGTTTGCATTGCTATAGAGTGTGTGGATACCTAGCCCTTCAAAGGGGAGAACTGTAACCTTATCAGATTATTCTAATACAGATTCATTTTCTAAAACTCTCCTAACATGAAGATTCAAAACACAGCTAAGAAAGAAGAAATGAGGAGGAAGGAATGTGGAGTATGGCACTGGGGACGGGAGTCTGCTCCAGGACTAAAGATGCAGGTCAGCATGTGCTTTCCCTGGCAAC